ACTCATAGCTGACCCTCCAGCAGGCCACAGAAAGCATGAGAGGAGATTGCCCATCCTTCTTCCTCTGAGCCACTGGTAGATTTGAACCTCCAAGAGGCATCACCTTTGGGTTAACAGTGCAATTCCCTACAGATTACACCACCAGCATTCCCTAAAAGCTTTCCTAGGAAGTGATACTGGTTTCCACATTCAGCTAGCAATTTGAAGGTCATGTGTTCAGGGACAAGCTCCATTTTTGGTTTTTGGTTGTTTTTTTTTAAAACATTTTTATTTTTATTATTATTTGTGTGTGTGTACAGTCAAATCAGATCTGACTGGTACAGGAGGAGATTGTTCCTCCTTCTCCAGCAGAGTATCTGGTGGATTTGAACCGCACACCTCCGGGATTGCAGTGATGCTCCATTTTTTAAATCCTGTGCCTTCCTTACTCAGCTTGGGAAATCTGCTTTTGGAAAGCAGTGGAGGAGACTCCAGAGTCAGCCGGACCAGGTTCGAACCTTGACTCTGCCATTTAAAGCTATGTGACTTTGCCCAGGAAGCAGAACAGCTAAGTCTTTAATTTTTAATCTGTAAAACAGAGAAAACATGTCTACCTCATCAAGCAGTTCAAGGACTAAATGAATAAATAAGAACCACCACTGTTTTTGAATATTTAATATTATCACTATTACATACAAGAAAAGCAAAGCCAACATTTCCCATTTCCTAACTGTCATGGTATACAGATAAACATCTACATTTGGAGTTTGGAAAGCACTTATCTCCCTCTGTTCTGCCCTTCTTTTATTATGTAAGTATATATTTGCTTCCTCTTAACAGGGCTACAAAGTAGCACCTTGGCCATTAGGAGTCCTGGTGGCCTAGTGGTTAGTATTGGCTCCTAAATAAAAAAGTCAGCAGTTCAAACCTACCAGCTGCTCTACAGAAGGATATGGCCGACTTAAAGGTTAGCCTGGGAAACATTATGGGACAATCCTGCTCTATCCTAGCGTTGTGATGAGTAAGAATCAACTGTGGGTTTGATTTAGTGACAGGTGAGTACTTAGCCAGATGATTTTGAAGGAATTTTAACTGCTTTGGGTTACAGAGCCTTATTCGCATAGATAAAGTCTGAGGCTTGTCTCATGAGGTACAGAAAAGGAGACTGGCTTTACCAAACCTCTCCTTGTTGTTATGTGCCGCAGAGTAGGAATTGACTCATAGTTAACTGCCCACAGCAGGTTCCCAGAGGCTATGAACTGTAGGGGAGAATGCCCACTTTGGGTTGGCACTGCTAGCTACTCCGTCCCATCAGAGCTCCTAAACCACCCCCCATATGACTTATGGGAATAGCTGGCTGAATAACCAGTCCATAGCATGCTGCTTTCATAACCAAAAGGCTACACATCTCTGGTGCTTCAGATCCATCAGCAGTTTTTTTTAGGAGAAGGATGGGCAGCTTCCATCTGTAAAGATTAAAAGCCTCCAAAACATGACAGAAGGTCACTCAATTGCGAGTAAAGCTATGTAGGAGCTTTGGTAGCACTGACGTTAAGGCGTTCTCAGCTGCTAACCAAAGATGTGATTCTGCTTCAGTAAAGATTTACAGTCTTGGAAACCCCAAGGGGCAGTTTTACTCTGACCCACAACAACAAACAGAGACCCTAGAAGTCAGAATCCCACTGCAGCTAGCTGGCCTGTTTTGTTTTGTATTATCAAAGTTACACTGACTTCCCATGGTCCTTCACAAGGATATTTCAAGTCAACTTGACCCAGATAAGTGCCTGGGGATGTGAGTTTGCAGGGCCAAACCCCGCTTTCACTTGCAAATACTGCTGAGGATGCCTTCTAGGCTCCAGGGGGAATATCAGCCTCCAGACTAAGCAGGGTAGGGCTAGGGCCCTCTTCCTCTCCACTATCCATTTACCTTAAAAAAAGGAAGAATCATTGCCCCAGGGCCTGTGATCTTCACAAAGGGTTTGAATCTTATCTTCATGTCTGTACAACAGTATTTAACATACTCACAGACACTAAGTTCTATTGATATGACCCAGTTCTCTTCCCTAACCCAAAGGTGGCAGTTCCAATCCACCAGCAATCATTCCTGCGTGATTTAAAGCCTCTCAAAAACCCATCGGCAGGGTCAGCTACAAGTGGGTTCTGAAGCCACAGCAATGAGAGCTCGAGGAGTCAGGGTTAACAAGCGTTTGTGTGGGTTTGTTGCATTGTTATGTTGTTTTTTTTTTAAGACTCTGATGCGTTTTTCTCCTAGATTAAATTATTATTTCTTTAATGCAGGTAGAGAGCTCCGAGGCATAATGGTAATATAGTATGACTAATTTAAAAAAAAAAAATCCCAAAGCTTATGTAAGTGAGTAAGAACTGTCCTCAGAACTGTTCTCACCTTGGGAAATTAAAATTGACATATTCTAGGGATGCTGCAGTTACTTAAAACATTCTGGAATTTCTCTTTCAGAAGTGTTCCCTCAGTGAGTTTACAGGCCTCTGGAGCAAAAGGTTCTTACTTTCTGGTCACACTTCAAGGCTCTTTGACTCTAAGCAAAACTCCCCATTTTGACCTTCCACCTGATTTTACCAGATTTGATTCTGAATGGTCTCCATTAAAGGGGGGGACCCCAAAATCAATTTTATCTTATTTCAAGAAAAAATATTTCCCTCCATTAAAGATATACACCCAAAACATTCTAGAACCATTTCTAAGAGAGGGATTTATAAAATGTGTACAATAACATCATATGGAATAAGATGAGATATAAAACAGTATCCCAATGTAACCACAGTAATGGGAGCAACATTTAAAATAATGTGAAATATGTCTAAGTCATCCATATTATTATACTCTTATGGTTTAAAGAGTTAATTTTCAATGCTTTCCCTGATGTTTTTCAATTGACAGCCATCCTGAAACACAGTATCTTAGACTCTGCACTGTGCTCACAATCTAAATACAATGAGGTTACTTGACAGATCACAGTAGCTTTTGGTTATATAGCATTATTAATTCAGTCACTCTGCCTAGACTCTGTTATGTAAACATCTCGATCTTTTAAAAGTGTACTTACTCATTTGACATTTCAATACAATTAGTGCATTAACCATTCTCATCTCTCAAGGCTATTACTGTTTATTTTACTTCTCCCAGCCAATAAAGCCATTGACAATTCCAAGGTCCCTTTTTTGTCACGTGCATTTACCACACTGTCAATAGCCCTTCTTTGGAGTTACCTTACAATGAGCTGGAATATTCCTGCCAAGTCAATGTCATTCCCAAAGCACTCTGCCCAGTTCCTCAGCCACATCACAAGATTGAAAACATGAACCAGGAGGACCAGAGTGATCTACTTTGCATTTCCCAAGTTGTTTCTTTCTTGCTTTTGATTCAATATTTTCCTAGTTTAAGGAGGAAAGCAGACATCTAAGAGCCTTTGAGGATAATTTGACTATTACCCATAACTAGTACATGAGGTGCCAATCTCAGTCATTTTATTATTTTAACAGTCTCCTCATGTTTGCTCTCATTCAATTTAATCCTCATTTTTAGTGGCTGGTACTTTTACACAAGACCAAGAACTGCACAAACCTGTACCACTCTCCACCCAGTTTTCTCCAGAAGGACCTGACTTCTGGACCCATTAGTCAGACTGCTTGGTTCTGGATGGAACTACAGAATCCATCCAAATTGATAGATCCCGTGGCACCATCATCACCGCCCCCAGCACTTACTTCCACTTTCCCATACCCTCTTCTAGGCAACTTTTCTTTTTTTTTCATTCACCTTCAGGTGGCAAGGAAATACAGTATCAATTCCATCTCTCTCGTTTAGGGGTTGATGTGCTCCCTGCAGATACAACGTCCTAAATCCCTGCTCCGTTTTCATGTTCAGGAAATAGGTGGGGTATCATGTTTGCTGCGCAGAGAAACCGAAACCTTTCCCTGAATATGGTCTTTCCTATATCATTTCCATTCTGGAATTCTGAACTCATGCACTACGATTTCCAATCACTTATGGGTTAAGACTGAATATGAATAGTCCACATCTACCTGAGGGCGTCCAGAACCGGGTGACTGCCTCGTCACTTTGAGGGGAAGACACGAGGCAAATCCATCTGAAGCCATCACGAGCTGATTCAGGGTCTGACTCATGCCAGGTGGCTTTACCTCAACCAACTTGGTAGCACTCCCCTGCTTTTCCGGATACCCCATCCCACCCTATTCCAGGTTAGTAGCAGCTGGGATCCAGGGCTCTGGCGGGCAGATTTTCGATCCAGGGTCTCAATTCAGAACTCAAAACCGGTAAGAAATAGGTCCTGGTCCTGCCGGGATCGACTCCCAGCCAGGACTTTGCGTGCATGGTGTATCGGTTCGAATCGTGTGGCGATAGCAGCAGCCAGGAAGCAACTCATGTCAGCTCCAGCTCCCTGCCCGAATCGTGGTTCTGCAAAAGACCCAGGGGTTCGGTCAGCCCAGGTCAGTTTCGCAGCCCAGTTCAAGTCTCACCTTGACGCAGTCGATGGGATACATCACGCAGTGCTCCAGGATCCCTGCCACGGCGCCTGCCACCATGTGCGTGGTGACAGTGGCTCCAGCAGGCAGCGCTTCGTAGTCCGGGTCGGAGTCCGGATCTTGCCGTAC